CGCCCGGGAGAGCGATCGGGGGCGGGGTTACACATCAGGGGGCGGGGTCGGCGTTCGCGGAGTTGAGCCCCGCCCCCTGACGTCATCTCTCTCTGACTGACAGGTGACCGCGGGGTCCTGACGTCGGCTGCGGCGTGAGCCCCGCCCCCGGGAGATGAGTGACGGCTGAGCCGGGATCCCGACGTGAGCCCCGCCCCCCGCGGTGACGGACGGGTGAGTGCGCGGTGACGTTGTAGGGTCCCAATGTCACTTAGTGTAAACCCCGCCCACGCCGGGTCTGCCACGCCCACAGGGTGACGTAATACAGTCCCCGATGTCAGTTAGTGTGAACCCCACCCACGGCCGGCTCAGCCACGCCCATGGGTGATGTCATACGGTCAATATGTCAGTTAGTGTAAACCCCGCCCACCGCGGACTTAACCCCGCCCACGGGGGGGACGTCATACAGTCTCCGTGTAACTCATTGTGAACCCCGCCCACCGCGGACTTAACCCCGCCCACAGGGTGACGTAATACAGTCCCCGATGTCAGTTAGTGTGAACCCCGCCCACGGCGGACTTAACCCCGCCCACAGGGTGACGTAACACAGTCCCCGATGTCAGTTAGTGTGAACCCCGCCCCCCGCGGACTTAACCACGCCCACGGGGTGACGTCACGGTCACTCACTCTCCCCCCCAGCAGGATGACGCCGCCCGGCCCCGCCCTCCGCGGGCGCCCGAGGGGCGGAGCCTCCGCGCATCCCTGACGTCACCGCAGCCCCGCCCTCACCGCCGCGAGCATGACGTCACCGCGACGCCGCCCGGCCCCGCCCCCGACGGCGTCGCCGCTTCCGTCATCACGCCCGCCCGCCCGCCCGCCCGCCCGTCGTCATCGCGAACCCGACCCGGGAAACATCATGACAACAACAACAACAACAACAATAATAATAATAAAGTATTTTTCTGAAACGTGACGCTCGGTCGCCGTCAGTCTCCTGCCGCAGCTCCCGCGGTTTCGTCTTCATCTTATTCTTTCATTTAGGTTTTAACCCCGGGCCGTCATCCCCCGGCCGCAGCTCGCTCGGTTTCTATTATTATTGTTATTTATGACCGCGGCGGCGTTTCCGGTGTGTGACTTCCGGGGGGCGTGGCCGCGGTGACGCGCTGACGCGGGGTCAGGGGTCGGGGGTCGGGGGTCGCGCCGGCCGCCGCCATGTTCTCGCTGCGCGCGCTCGCGGCCGCGCTCCGCGTCTACGCCGTGGGCATCGCGGTGGCGCTGGCGCAGCTGCTGCGCCGCCTGCGGGGCGACTTCCAGCCGCCGGGTGAGACGCGGGGGTCACGGGAAACAGCGCGGGGGGAACCGGAAACAGCGCCGGGAGCGCGGGGGAGCGGGAAACCGGAAACAGCGCGGGGGGAACCGGAAACAGCGGGGACGCGGAGAAACCGCGGGGAAAAACGGAGGTTTCGGGGCTCGTCCCGCCTCCCGGGGGAACCGGAAGTGCAGGCCGGGGTCGCGGGGTCACCGGAAACAGCGCCCGAGCCGCGGCGGCCGCGGGAGAAGCGGAGAAACCGCGTTTAAAAACGGAAACCGCGGCGGTTCCTCCCGCCCGCGACCGGAAGTCGTCGGTAAAGCCCTTCCGGTCGCGGCCGCAGCGTTCCCGGCGGCCCGTGCGCTCCCGGCGGGGTCGGAGTTCACGCCGCGTTGACCCGGGAGCCGCGAGGGATGCCGGGAAGCCTGGGAACCCGGAAGCGGAGCGGACGAGCGGCTGTTTCCTGTCCGCACCGGAAGTGTGGCGTGATTGACGGTCCGCGGAGGCGGGGCCAGCACGCGCCTCACTTCCGGTGTCGGGAAAACCGCGGATCCGGAGCGGCAGCAGGAAGTCCCGCCTCCGACCGGAAGCCGCTGGGACTTCCGGTGTGCGAAAGCGACCGCGGAACGGAGTCCCGGCCGCTGCCGGAAGTGCGGACGCCCAGCGCGGTTCCGGCTTCTCGGTCGGGTTCCGGAAACAGCGCCGCGAAGCCCCGCCTCCGACCGGAAGCCGGAAGTTCCACCACGATCGCGCTTTTTTTTTTCTTTATTAATTTTTTTCCCCGCGTGGAAACCGGTTACGGCCGGATTTTTTGGTGGTTCTGGACCGCGTCCGTGTTTCCCAGCATGCCCCGCGTGCCCGCCGCGGGCTGTGCGTCCCCCGTGAGCGCGGCCGGCGGCCGGGGACTTCCGGCTCCCGCGGGATCCGCGTCCTTCACCGTAGATGTTCATGTTTAGTCGCGGTCACTCCCCTGCCGTAGATCTCCCTCTCATTTATTGACATATTTTCTGACTCCTCACTCGCGGTCATCCCCCTGCCTCCCCCCCCCCCCCCCCCCGACCTCCCCCCCCAGCCGGGCCGCGTCGCCGTCGTCACGGGCGGCGCCGAGGGCATCGGGCTGAGCACCGCGCGGCGCCTGGCGCGTCTGGGCATGCGCGTCGTCGTCGCCGGGAACGACGAGCGGAAGGGGCGCGCGGCCGTCGACGTCATCAGGGCGGAGTCGGGCGCCGACAGCGGTGAGGAGGGGCGGGGCCCGGGGAGGTGGGCGGGGCCGGAAACGGACGGCACCGGGAATGCTGACAGACCGGAAGTGACGTGACCGGAAGTGGTGTCTGACCGGAAGTGACGTCATCTCTCCCCGCCCGCAGCGCACTTCCTGTTCCTGGAGCTGGCGTCGCTCGCCTCCGTCCGACGCTTCGTCCGCGAGTTCGAGGCCTCGGGGCGGCCGCTGCACGTGCTCGTCAACAACGGTGAGGGCGGGGCCCGGGTCGGGGGTGGGGCACGCCCCCGGTGACGTCACCCGCGGGCACGCAGACGCGGCTCATCTGCATATGCAAACCGCCCGGCGTGAATATTCAGCAGGAGCCGCGGCTTGGCGTGGCTTGTATGCAAATGAGCTCGTTAATATTCATGACCGGGTCCTGAATATTCATCTTTTTCCGCTGTGACTGCTCTGTCTCATTTGCATATGCAAAGCACGCAGCGTGAATATTCAGCAGGAGCTGCGCTAGACTGGGCTCACTATGTAAATTTGCTCATTAATATTCATAACGGACTCCGGAACATTCATCCTTCTTCCGTTTGCCCGCTGCTTCTGCCTCACTTGTGCCTCATTTGCGTATGCAAAGCTCCCCGTATGAATATTCATAACCGGGTTGTGAATATTCATCATCCTTCTGCTATAACTGCTCCTGCCTCATTTGCATATGCGAAGCGCCCCGCATGAATATTCATAACCGGCTTGTGAATATTCATCGTTCTTTTGCTGTAACTGCTCCTGCCTCATTTGAATATGCAAATCGCCCCGCATGAGTATTCATAACCGGGTTGTGAATATTCATCGTTCTTCTGCTATAACTGCTGTGCCTCATTTGCATATGCGAAGCGCCCCGTATGAATATTCAGCAGGATCCGAGCTTGACTGGGCTCCGTATGCAAATGAGATCGTTAATATTCATAACTGGCTTGTGAATATTCATCGTTCTTCTGCTATAAGCGCTCCTACCTCATTTGAATATGCAAATCGCCCCGTATGAATATTCATAACCGGGTTGTGAATATTCATCGTCCTTCTGCTGTAACTGCTCTGCCTCATTTGCATATGCAGAGCGCCCCGCGTGAATATTCAGCAGGAGCCGCGCTTGCCTGTGTGCGCCAAGTCTCTCATTAATATTCATGACCGGCTCCCGAATATTCATCCTTTCCCCGTTGTAACCGCTCCCGCCTCTGAGCGTCTGTTTTGCTCATTTGCATACGCGAACTGTCCGATTTGCATATGCAAACGACGGCCGAGGAGGACGGCCTGAGGGAGATTTACATATTTAAATGAGCAACCCGGGCCCTCTGGCTGTGCTCCTCATGGAGATGCAAACGAGCAGACGGGGTCTCGGGCTCTTCCTCCTCATGAATATGCAAATGTTTGCGATTTGCATATGAAAGTGAGCAGGCGGGATTCCCAGCGCTCCTTCTCCTCGTGAATATGCAGATGAGCGACAGGAATATGCAAATTAGCGGTACAAAGCCCCGTCTGCGGGTGATTTGCATATGCAAATGTGCTGTCTTCCTCCTCGTGACTATGCAAATGCTTGATGTGAATATGCAAATGAGCGCACATAAAAAGACCTGAGCGTGCTTTCCATATGCAAATGAGCAGCCGGGACTCCCGACTCTCGTCATGAATATGCAGATGAGCGACATGAATATGCAAATTAGCGGCACAAAGCCCCGTCTGCGGGCGATTTGCATATGCAAATGAGCAGATCGGGCCCCGAATCTCCTCCCGCTCTTCATGAATATGCAAATGGGCGGCCCGGGCTCGTGAATATGCAAATGAGGGGTGTTTAGAGACACTCTCCTGCCTCAGCGACGGGAATCTCACTCCCGACCCCACTCCCGCTCACGCGGGCGGGCGGGACTTCCCGCGGCGGGCGTGGCTCCTCACGCGGCCCCGCCCCCTCCCCCGCAGCGGGCGTCATGCTGGAGCCGCGCGGCGAGACGGAGGACGGCTTCGAGCGCCACGCGGGCGTCAACTTCCTGGGCCACTTCCTGCTCACGCTGCTGCTGCTGCCGGCGCTGCGCGCGTCCGGGCGGCCGGGGCGGGGCTCGCGCGTCGTCACGCTGGGGTCGGCCACGCACCGCGTCGCCGGGCTGGACCCGCGGGACCTGCGCGGACGGTGAGCGCGGCGGGGGCGGCGGGCGGGGCGGGGGATCCACTTCCTGTGCCTCAGATCCACTTCCTGTGCCTCAGATCCACTTCCTGTCCCTCAGATCCACTTCCTGTGTCTGGAAATCCACTTCCTGTTGCTGTAAATCCATTTCCTGTCCCTAAATAGCCACTTCCTGTCTCTTTGACTCATTTCCTGTCTCAAAATCCACTTCGTATCCCCCTGAATCCACTTCCTGTCTGTGTGAATCCACTTCCTGTCTCAGTAAATCCACTTCCTGTTTCTGTAAAACTACTTCCCGTTGGTCTAATCCACTTCCTGTCCGTGTGAACCCACTTCCTGTCTGTGTGAATCCACTTCCTGTCTGTGTGAACCCACTTTCTGTCTGTGTGAATCCACTTCCTGTCCCTCAGATCCACTTCCTGTCCGTCAGACCCACTTCCTGTCCGTGTAACCCACTTCCCGCCCCCCAGGCTCCCGTACTCGGCGCACGCGGCCTACGCGGGCAGCAAGCTGGCGCTCGCGCTCTTCGCCCTGCGGCTGCAGCGCCTCCTGGACGCGCGCGGCGACCCCGTGACCTCCAACCTGGCCGACCCGGGCGTGGCCGACACCGCGCTGTACCGGCACGCGTGGGCGGGGCTGCGGGCCGCGCGGCGGGCGCTCGGGCGGCTGGCGTTCAAGGTGCGCGGGGGGCGGGGCCGCAGGGGGCGGGGCCGGCGGGGAGACGGGAAGTGACGTCAGACGGACAGGAAGTGATGTCAGACGGACAGGAAGTGAGTTTAGGGACATAGGAAGTGACTTTACAGAGACAGGAAGTGACTTTACAGAGACAGGAAGTGACATCACGGGGACAGGAAGTGGCTTTACTGAGACAGGAAGTGACATCACGGGGACAGGAAGTGGCGTCAGACGGACAGGAAGTGGATTTACTAAGACAGGAAGTGAGTTTATACAGACAGGAAGTGAGTTTATTCAGACAGGAAGTGACTTTATCCAGACAGGAAGTGAGTTTATTGAGACAGGAAGTGACTTTACAGAGACAGGAAGTGAGTTTATCCAGACAGGAAGTGAGTTTATTCAGACAGGAAGTGACTTTATCCACACAGGAAGTGACTTTACTGAGGGAGGAAGTGACTTTACAGAGACAGAAAGTGACTTTATATGACAGGAAGTGACATCACGGGAACAGGAAGTGGCTTTACTGAGACAGGAAGTGACTTGAAGCGACGTCACCGACCCCCGACCGACCCTTTCCCCTCCCCGCAGACCCCGGACGAGGCCGCGTGGACCCCGGCGTACGCGGCGGCCGCGGCGGAGCTCGAGGGCGTCGGGGGCCGCTACCTGTACGACGAGGCGGAGGCGGAGCCGGCGGAGGCCGCGCGGAACCGGGCGCTGCAGCGCGCGCTGTGGGCGGAGGCGTGCCGGGCGACCGGCCTGGAGGACGAGACCGCGGGCTGGTGACGGCCGGGCGGGCGGGCGGGGCCGGGGAATAAACTCGCTCTTCCTGCCTCCCGTCTCGAGTGTCTGCGAGGCCGGCCGAGGGCGGGCGGGGCCCGGGCGGGCGCTGTCGGGTCCCCTGAGCCGGTTCCTGTGGGACGGACGCGCGTGGGCCGCGCCCGGCCTGTGTCTGAGGGTCCTCGGGCCGCTTCCTGTTCATAAAACCCACTTCCTGTCCACGAAAAGCCACTTCCCGTCCCCGCGCCCGGCGTTCCCGGCCGCCCCGACCCCCGGGAGCCGCCCCGCCCCGCGAGGCTCCGCCCGGATCCCACAGAACCGCTGACACGACGTGCGTTCGCGATGTTTATTTCCCCGTGTGGGGCGGGGCCGAGAGCCGGCGTCGCTTCCCGGGCCCGGAGACTCCGCCCTGCGCGGCGACGCCGCTCCCTGTGCCGGTCGGGGTGGAGTCGGGCGCGACGTAGCTTCCTGCGCACGGAGAGACAGAGGGGTCGGGCCTCGGTTCCCTTCTGGGCCCCTGAGGTCACTTCCTGTCCCTCAAACCCACTTCCTGTCCCTCAAAATCCACTTCCTGTCCCTCAAACCCACTTCCTGTCCCTCAAATCCACTTCCTGTCCCTCAAATCCACTTCCTGTCCCTGGAAATCCACTTCCTGTCCCTCAAATCCACTTCCTGTCCCTCAAATCCACTTCCTGTCCCT